CGTCTGGGTGACTCCCCTCTGACAAGAACATGGAGGAATTGGAACCCCATACACTGCTGATGGGAAGGTGAAATGTTAGCACCAGTTTGGAAAATGGCTTGGCATCTCCTCAAAATGTTAAGTGTAGAGTTAGCCTGTGACCCAGTAAACCTGCTTATCTCTAAGAGAAATGAAAATAAGTGTTCATACAAAAACTTGCACACGAATGTTTATTGTAGCATTACAGTAGGCAAAAAGTAGAAATAAGTCCATCGTGTAGACAAGTCCACATGTCCATCAGCAGTGAATGGATAAACACATGTTGCATAACCACGCAGTAGACTATGACCCCCAGTGAAAAGAGTGAAGCACTGATATTTGCTGGGAGGTAAATCATCCTAGAACGTACTGTATTCATGAGAAGCCAGCCACAGAAAACCATAAATTGTATAATTCCCTTGATAGGATGTATCCAGAATACATAACTCCATGGAGACAGGAAGTAGACTCTGGCCACCAGGGTTGAGGGGAGAAGGGGTGGGGAGTGACGCCAGTGGCCTGCGTTCAGGGTGATAGAAATGCTTGAGCTTAGGTCATTTTGATAACACACAATTCTGAGTATATAGAAAATCACTGACATACAAGGTTGATTTTATGGTGTGAAAATTCTCTTGGTAAAGTTACTGTGAAACAGGTAGTATTCAGACCACAACCTCACATCCCCAAGCTGGCCACAGCCTTCCCGGCCACGCCCGACACAGGCAGTCTACTCTGTCCTCCCTCTGCTGTGATACCACAGGGTTCCTGCCTAGTGCCCCTACACTAGAGGAGAGTTACCGGCCAGGGGCCAGGTTAAGAGGACACAGGCCAGAGAGGAATGTTCCCAGTTAGAAGTGTTTCCTGTCTGTTCTCAGCTATGTACAGTCAACAGATGGGGCAGGTGGTTACTACAGGTGTGGCTTAGAAAGGATATCGCTTTTCTTCTTAAATCACATCTGCCCTGAATGTGACTTTTTGTTTTCTCGTGTAGCCAGAAGAAGACCCAGAGAGTGTCCCTCCTATTTGAAGATGATGTAGACAATGGAAGCTCTCTCTTTGGCTCTCCCACCACCTCTACTCCTCCTGTAGCCATGGTACTTTTCCTTCCTCAGACCGGGAAAATGTTGTAGTTCCACTGCAGAGTAGTGGTGCTGCCCACCAGGGTGACTGAGCCTCAGGAAGAACGTGTTTGCATGATGCGGAAAGCTCTGGTTAAGGGTACTGTCGATGTGCACATTATGCAGAGCTAGCAGAAAAGGGCTCCCCATGTCAGGCAGCCCACTGAAGCAGGTACTAGAACAAGAAGCTCTGTGTAAGGGAGACTGAGCCCCAGGGCCTGCAGTGCTGCTAACCTTTGTGTGGCTGGTTAGGGCACGTGTTGGTCAGTTTTCCCTCATTGTGACAGATACAGGAACCTGAGATACTCATGAATAAGGAGAAAAGGTTTGTTCCAGCTCTGGATTTCAGAGGTTTTGGTTTGTGGCTGGTTGGCCCAGATGCTTTGGGCCTGTCATGGCACTGGGTGTTGTGGCAGGAGCGTGAGGTAAAGGAAGTGTTCACCTCATGGTGGCTAGGAAGCAGAGAGGCACTCCTCAGTGACCTCATTTCCTCCACTGGTCATAGCACATAAAGGTGCCACTGTTACAAGCTCCTGTGAGTTCCCAGCTACACATAAGATGAAAACCTTACGTGAGCTACTAGAGAGAAAATAAAAGTTTGTTCTAGGAAAGACACTGGCCTTTCTCTTGGTAGAAAAAAGAGACTGCCCACAAGGCACTGCCTTTGCTGTTCAGCGATGAGGAAGAGAAGGAGCCGCAGTTTGGAGTGAGACCTGTGGCTCAGAAGGCCGAGAGCCCCTGCACACCCTCAGCACTGCAGGGAATCAGCGCAGCGGAGAAGCTGGAGAAGGTGGGCCTTGTCCTCTTGTTTCCTAATGCAGTGGCATCCCAAATGTTGCTCTCTCTCTCTCTCTCTCTCTCTCTCTCTCTCTCTCTCTCACACACACACACACATTGTTTTCCACCACAAAAAATCAGTGCCTCATATATGGAAAGATTTAAAAGCCCTAGAAAGTGTGAGAAGGCAGCCTGTGCTCCCCCTGGGCTCAGGGAAACCTTCCCACAGCCTTGCTTTGGTTCCTGTCCTAGGCACTTCCTGTGCCACGAAGGTCCCATGGAGTCTTGTTGGTGTGTGTTTTGTCTTCCCTCCAGTGTGCTCCTCTTGGTCTCCTGTCTTGTCTTCTCTCCACATCTTTGCTCTTTCTGGCTTCTCTTCTCTGTGATTTTCCTGTCTCCTTTAGCTCTTCTCGTCCCCACCTGTACTTGAATTAAGATGTTGATTTTACGAAGACTCTAGTTTCAGATTCTTATATTTCTAGTTGATGCTGGTTGTGAATTGCAGAGCAAGGTGAAGTGTGTCTTTCGTCTCATGCACTGGCGCTCTTCTCCTGATGGTCGACCATGTCTGACTGGGCCCTATGCTAATGCCGCTGACCACATCCTGAGAGTCCAGGAACCACAATAGCTGTCCGTCTCTGTTCTTTCTATCTTTCTGACTCTTCTCATCCACTGTGTGTCCAGACACTCTGTCCAGCGCCTGAGGGAAGAACACAGCATTACTTTTTCTGTGAGGTCCTTGGAGCATTGGTGATGCAGGCCTTTCTCTGTGCCCCATCACTGACCAGCTCCCACAAGTGGCTGCATGTAAACCATCCTGTGTGGACCTGCACTGTCCTGTCCTAGCCCATCCACTCTTGCTTCTGCCTGCCTGCCCTGTACCCTCTCCCTCATTTGAGTATCCACTCTTCAGGCCTGAGCGAGCTTTGTTTGCTCAGCATTACATCTTTTACTTCACATACCACCTTGCACATAGTGGATACCATCTTACTTACATACTGTGTCGTAAAAGCATGTTCCAGTTTGGCCATTCTGAAATTGGGGTATACCTCAGAATCCATGACAGGCGAAATCAGGAGTCAGTCTCCTTCCTAGGTGTACAAAGAGTAATAGTGGTTCTTATGACCAATAGTATCTTACCTGAATCGTGATACTGTGGAATATGAATGTTGTGTGTTAGGATTGTTTTGGACATTGTTCTAATTGCATATACAATCATAGCCTTACAATTTGAATGTCTGGTTTTGCTAGTTAGGGTTCCCTTTGGACCTTAGGTAATGTATTAGTTAAATGCTGAGAAGTGACAGACATTTGTTGTCTCTGTGACTTAAAATTTTCTTCTAGTTTATAAGGAGCCTGTGTGCAGCAGGGTTCTGATGACCTATCACCTAAAGAAAGGAGGGACCTGCAGCCTTAAAGTGTTTGGAGAAGTTATCTTTGGCTGTCGATTGTCTGTATAAGATTTTTCATTGGCACAGCCAACAGTGTTTCATCACATGGAGTAGATATGACTAGCTGTAGTGCCCTGAATCTGGCAACTGCAACAGCTATAGAATTCATAAGGGGTGGGAAGGTGCCAGGATCAGATTTTTACTTTTTACATTTATTACATACCTTTCCTCCTTATTATTTCCATTTCCAGAAAGGACTTTTGACCACATCTGCCCAGGAAGCCATCAGGCATTCTGATTTGTTTTTCCCAGCTACCCCATTGGACAAAGGAACCACAGGTAGAACTAAAACTGTCCTTAGCTTGTTTGATGAGGAAGAGGATAAAATGGAAGATCCAGACAGCACCCGTGCTCCACAGACAGAAGTGGGGAAGGTGAGCAGAAGGAATATAGGTTTGAGTCTATAGAGATGATGAAAGAATCTCATTTTGTGGTGTCCTCTCATGAGTTAAGGAAGAGATCTTAGCCTTTGGAACGGAGTGTGAATGATTCTGTCCTGTCATTCAGATGTTTGGAAATCTGATCAATGACTTCCCTCCAGAAGCTCTGGGGAAGGGTTTTAGAATGACACCTGCCTGTGCTGGGTGCTTCTGGCAATACTTTGACCCTTAGCCAGTTAAAGGCTGCTAGTGGTAGGAGAGGGAAGTCAGACCAGATCTGTATACTTCATACTTCTAGCATTCATTTCAACAAATGATATTGGGATACTGGTTATCGCCATGCAAAAGAATGAAGCTAGACTGTTACACACAGAAATGAAACTCAGAACAAGTCATA